GTGAATTGTGTCATTTCAGGGCTTCACCTTGGGAACAAAATATTGTTTCTTCAAGAGAATTAATCATGACCCATTAACCACTTAATTATAATGATTAATGTTACTAATTATGAACACACAAAACTGTGGATTTCTTGATAGAATCATATCAAGATTCAATGGTTTCACCAACTAGGCATTTTATCCCCCACCTTTACTTGATTAGTTATGTTGATCAAATAGCTGACCAACCCATAAATTTAGTAGATGCAATTGATGGAACCATAGAAGGATTATTTATTCAGTGTCGGCTGAAGGTTCTTCATCGTTGGATCGTTATCTTTCTACCGCTATGTTTTGTTTGTAACTATTGTGCTAAATTTCAAAAGTAGACAATATCGTAAACAAGTAATAAATTGAACCTAAGAGTCCAAGTATCGATCTCACAAGGATTATGTATTTAATCTAATTTTCAGTATAACGATATTTGATCGATGAGTTACATTAACAAATTAAAATTTATAACTAATCTAGTATTTAATGGGAAGAGAATATGAAATAGTAAGCAATTGGATTTCAAATCCCCCTACATTCATCTATTTTAATATCAATCCAAGACTTAGACAAAACATCTTGGGCATCAAGATTAATGTCCTTTAACTTGTTTAATAATCTTTCTCGACTATAACTAAACATATCCTCGCATATGACCATCATATATCTTTATAAAGGATTTGGAAATCTAAAGATGCATTAAATCACAAAAATATTTAAAAGGGTCGAACAAAGCATAACAACATATCTTCATTCTTTATCAAACTTTACAATGATTGTTACTATGTACTATAATTCATTTCTTTATCTCCAATGTCAATAGAAATCATAAATCATATCAATTAGTGATCAAATAATCAAAATGACATTAAACTCCTCCTAACAATAATTCAAAATCAAACAAACATTCAATATCAAAATCTGGAATATGAAAACATCAAAACGTGGGTTCAACGTTATACAATTAGTCGAGCATCATATGATTACAAAAAAACATTCGATTAATACAACATTATCCAAAATTGAAGTTTGCAAAGAAGATGGATGGAAATCTTGATTCCTCGAGTCTTTTCAATAGCTCAATTGATGTACGAAAGTATTACGAATGTGTTTTATATCAAAAGAAATATGTATTTGTTGATCAAAA